CTCATTCATACCCCCGCCTAACCCACACCCCACCTGATCCACACCCCTGCCTAACCCATACCCCACCTAATCCACACTTCACCTAATCCACACCTCACCTAATCCACACCCCACCTGTTCCACACCTCACCTGATCCACACCCCACCTAATCCACACCTCACCTAACCCACACCCCACCTAATCCACACCCACCCCACCTAATCCACATCCCACCTAATCCACACCCCACCTAATCCACACCCCACCTAATCCACACCCTAGCCGCCTCCTTTCCTCTCTGATCCCCTCCCCCTTCTTCAGCATCTCAGGATTTAAGTCAGCCCTGCCCCCATCATTCCATCTCAAACCAGTTCCAACTTCCCATTCACAAGACCTCAGGCATCCTTCCAGCCAAACTTCTCAAGGAGTCATCTATACAGGTCATGTCTCCCTCCAATTCCCGCTCAACCCACGCAGCTTCTGACCCTAACACTACACGGATGCCCTGGCCCAGGCCACCTAAGACCTGCCCTGTGGCCCAACCCAGCAGTCACCCTCTGCCCTCAGTGTACCCAAGCTCTCGGCCGCGGCTGACTCAGCTATCTGCCCTGTTCCCCTGGCAAAGCAACGAGCCTGCCCTGCCCACCTCGTTTTGCCAGGGGATGGACACGGAGCCTGTGGAGAACTTGGAGTAGAAGTCATCGTCTGTGTGGTCCAGGTTGACACCTTTCACAGTGGAGAACTGCTCGATGTCCAGCACGTCCTTACAGTACACGGCTCGGGGCTGTGGCCGGGACAGGGGCAGAGGGCTTGGTCACACGGCATCCTGGGGCCAGACCCCATGGGTCCAGCAGAGGGTATGGATGGGCGAGCAGAGGGGACGTCAGCCTGAGGCTGTCCTCTCCTGAGAACCTGAGCTGCCCTCTCTCAGATCGCCAAGGGCACCCCCAGCTGAGACGCAACAAGAACTCGAGGTGTCTGCGCTCTCTGCCCAGTGCCCGTCCCTTCCTATCACCCCCAGGTCACCACCCCCCCCAGTAGTCTGTGGCAAGATGCCAGCTGAGTGGGGAGACAGAACACCCCTTCTAAGCTCACACTCCTCAGTACCTCCAGGGGTCCCTACCCCCGTCAGATATCGTTACCCTAAGGTCCATCTAAGGAGCTGTAGCGGCCAATGGTTAAGCATTCTGCTGCTAACTGAAAGGCTGGCAGTTTGAATGCACCTAGTGGCTCCACGGGGGCCCTGGTGGTGCAGTGGTTAAAAGTTCAGGCTGCTAACCAAAAGGTCATTAGTTCAAATCCACCAGCTGCTCCCTGGAAACCCTATGGGGCAGTTCTACTCTGTCCCGTAAGGATGCTATGAGTCAGAATCGACTCAACAGCAACGCGCTTGGTTTTTTTTGGTTTAGTGGCTCCACAGGAGAAAGACCTGGCAGTCTGCTTCCATAAAGATTACAGCCTAGGAAACCCTACGGGGCAGTTCTATTCCTCACATGGGGTTGCTATGAGTCAAAATTGACTCGACGGCACCTAACAACAAGGCCCGTCTAACCAGGAAGGTGGCAACGTTTCCCAAGTTAGCTGTGCACAGTGAGGGTTGCACTGGCCACTGCTTGGGGCCTCAGGGCCATTCCTCCCTAGACGGATGCCAGGGGCCTCAAGGCCGGACCAAGGGCACAGGAGTGGCACTCTGGGGGCTCTGCCTTGTGGGGAAACGCAGCCGATGGTGGGTATCCCGGGAGGTACTCAGGCCCCTCTAGCCCACCTTAGGCTCCTTAGAGGGCAGTGAGGGCTAGTGGTTTAGCACTCAGGCTCAGCAGCCACAGATCTGGGCTGGAATCCCAGCTCTGGGGCTTCGGAACTTTGGGAGAGTCACACAGCCCCTCCAGGCCTCAGTTTCCTCACCTGCACAATGAGGATCATAAAAGTACTTGCCTTTAGGGCCGGGCACCATAACCACGAGCTATTATCATTATGGCGGTTAGTATCTTTGATCTCACTCGTCCACGCAGCACGCATGGGGACTGCCCTCTGCCACGGCTGACAGAGATGAATCGGCCAGGCCTTGCCCTCCAGGGCTTCATGGTCTGGGCGTGGAGGCGTCCCAGGAGCTGCGGGAGCCCGGGGCCCAACGATGGGGCCTTCATAGAGGGGATGACTCTGGGGATGACTCAAGGGTAGAGGCCACCTCTGTCCCCTGTCTCCTGTCCCCTGTCTCCTGTCACCTGTCCTCTGTCCCCTGTCCTCTGTCCCCTGTCCCCATCCTCTGTCCCCTGTCCCCTGTCCTCTGTCCCCTGTCCTCTGTCCCCATCCCATCCCCATCCTCTGTCCCCGTCCTCTGTCCTCTGTCCCCTGTCCCCTGTCCTCTGTCCCGTCTTCTGTCCCCTGTCCCCGTCCCCTGTCCCCTGTCCCCCAGCCCTTGGCCCAGGGCCCAGCACAGAGCTAATTCCAAGGTCAGAATGTGCCAATCAGTGCCCAGGTGCAGTGGGGCAGTGAGGCAGTGAAGATTCTAGCGCTGGTCTCAGGGCCCAGCACTTTCTGGGGCTCTCTAGTGCTGCCTTCTGAGGCTCAAGTACCCGTGGGCAGTGGCAATGGTGGGGCGGGAAAACGGCCGACTTTCAGGTGCCATCAGTACAAAATGAAAATGTGGAGCCCCTTACTCAAAAAGCATTAAAAATTTCAAGCTGGCGACAGCAGAGCATTCAACTACCACAAGGCCCTTCTGAGCTCAGCCTGTGTGACAGCACGGCCCACATACCATGGTTTGCGGATCAGCATTACAAAAAAAAAATTACAGTAATTCCGTATTTTTAAAATCTGTAATGGAAAAAATTTATCTAACACTGTAAAATTCACCATTTCATGACTACTATTGGCTAAGTTTTCTTTCGGAACACATTTATTTTGGTCTGAAGAGTCCAAGGGAATGAGAAATATTAATAACAGTACTTGTGGTTTAGGTATGTGGGAACAATCCTGAAGGTGGTGTGGAAGAGCCCTGGGTGGGAAAGGCTGGCCTGGCTCCTGGGGAGGGCAAGAGGGAGGGGGGGAGGCAGGTGGGAGGAGAACGAGGGAGTGGGGGGGATCCCTGCAGCTCACGGGGGCTTCGTGCTCAATGCCTGCAGCTTCCAATCTCAGGGCTTGGGAACAAGGGCCCATGGGCCACAGGGGGCGCTGTGGAGCTGGCAGAAGAAGGACACTGGCCAGATTTTTGAGTCTGCTCTGTGCCCATCCCACTGAGCTTGGCTCTGAGAGGGGTTCTTCTACCGCGCCCTCCTAACGCCCCTGGAGTGTGCAGGGTCACACCTGGGGTCCGTCTGTCCAGGTGTGCCTAGGATGCAGGACTTTCAAGGTCAGTCCTGGGCAGGTCAGGCCAGGACAGTTGGTCACCCTGCTTATCAGAGCAGCCTTCTTCACACGCTGCTTCCCAGCTCTGCCCCGGCCAACTCCTGACACCAGTTTCCCCTGACCCCCCAGTCTTCTCCCCCAGGGCCTCCCATTTGCATCATCTCTCCTCCTCCTCAGACTGTAAGTTCCATGAAGGAAACAACTGTGTTTTGTTCCCCACGGGGTCCCCCACAGCCTGGCAGTGGGCCCGGAGCACGCCGGGAGGTTGAGAGAGACTTTCTGTGGGAGTGACTAATCAGATCCCGTTACCACTGGAGCCACAGGCAGCCCGGGGGTGGCCGACTGGGTTCCAGAACCTTTGCTCCAGCCTCAGCCTGGGCGCCCGCCTCACCACTGACCCGGGCCATTAACCGAGTCACATCGCTGCTGCCATCAAAACAACCTCATGTGGTCACCCTATGCGGTTGCCTGGGATGCCAGCTTGTGGCCATTCCCCTAGCCCTCAGCATTAAAAACAAACAAACATCAAACTCCTAGCTGGCCACATTTCCTAGAACACCCCAAAACCAAACCCATTGCCATCGAGTCAACTCTGACTCATAGCGACCCTAGAGGACAGAGCAGAACTGCTCCATAGGTTTCCAAGGCTGTAAATCTTTATGGAAGCAGACTGCCACGTCTTTTTTCCGCAGAGCGACTGGTGAGTTCAAACTGCTGACCATTTGGTTAGCAGCTGAGCATTTTAACCACTGCACTACCAGGGCTCCTCTAACACAGTGGTTCTCAGCCCTGGCTGCACAATACCGTCACCTGCCTTTTAGAAATCCTGATGCCCAGGCCTGCCCCAGATCAGTTACATCAGAGTCTCTGGGGGTTAGGTGATTCCAAAGGGCAGCCAGAGACCAGATCCTGTAATTCTGTTCTCCCCACCATTTGTTGACGTTTACCCAGAGGCTAAGTTTGTAGTATTCAGAGACATTGTATATTCTCTGTGGTCCCTTCCTTCTCCCAGAAAGCATTCTCTGGTGACCCCCACAGCACTGAAGCTGGAACTGGCTGGATGGGGTCAGAGGTGTGGTTTCATGGACACTGTTCAGCACCCAGCAGGGCCTGTGGCCTCCCAAACCCGCTGCTGCCCTCCTGCCCTGCCCCAGATGACTGGGGACCCTCACCTACAGGGGGCACCAGAGTTCCAAGGATTGGTAGAAGGTTATCAACCAGTTCTCAGGCAGGGGAATGAGAAAGCCCTCATTTGTAGCATTTGCCAATTCCTATGGTGTAAATACTCCCACCATGGTTGATTTCAAGCCACTCACGTGAAGTTACTGAACAGGAGCTAGGAATAGGTGTGCACAATCACTTCCTACAAGGGGAAGCAAGCCGGCTTCAGGACACCTCATCTCTCATGGCCTCCAGAGCCCCAGCTCATCCCCTCCCCCCAGTCAGGGGCCGAGTTCTCTGTCTGTAGGAGCTCTGAAAGAGCAGGGGCACAAGCTGGCCTTCTTGGCGACTGACTCCTTAAATTTGCACTGTGTAGCCCCGGGAACACAGACCTCTTACAAGGCCTCTTGTGGCAAAGACCATGTGTGTGAGTCCACCCTGTTCTCTCCTGGTCTGGCTCCATTGAGCTTGTAGCCAGCCAAGCCCGAGCCACTTAGGGGATTGTCAATAGCAACTGGGACTTAACTGGACTTTCACCTCACATGCTGACTTGGGGCCCTGGGCCCTGAGGAAGATGTGACTCTCTGTAATGTGAGTGCTAGGGGCTGGGCCTCAGCTGGTTCATCACTGGACCCACTGTGCCTGGCCCAGAACCTAGCATATACAGTAGGTACTCAACACTCACTAGTTACACTCAACCGAAAATGGTGGTCCTTAAGGCTCTTAAAAGCACTTCACAATCTGTTCTCATTTCACCCTTAAAGTCCCTGGACAGTTGGGAGAGTGGGTATCATTAGAACCATTGACAGGTGAGGAAACTGAGGCTCAGAGAGGAAGGATTTGCCCCGGTTCCGCAGCCATGGATAAGCACCCAAGTCTCTGGGTAACTAGTGTGGGGCTCCCAGGCCCACCCTCCACCTGCACTGCCTGCATGAAAGTAATTTGCAATGTTCGGCAGGGAGTGGCCGTGGGCACTCTGGTCCCCATGAAGACAGCAGATGCCACACACCCTTGTGTTAGCTGATTGATGGACAGCCCTGGCAGGAGGCCTGCTGGGGAGGGTGGAAGGGGGACTTTAGGCCCACAGAACCAGCTCCTGGCAGCAGCAGCCGTGGAGCTGCGATGGGGCTGGGGGAGGCTACTCACATCTGGAACGAAGGGAGGGTCCAACATGCCGGCTTCTAAGCGCTTGAAATTCATGTTCCTGAAGAAGGGGTGCCTCTTGACTTCCACAGCCCCCTCCTCCTGGCAGCCCAGCCTCTGCTTTGCGTCCTTGGTGAGCAGCTGTGATCAAGAGAGAGAGGCCATGAGGCCTGGGGCCTTTACTCCTGCCAGAGGCCACAGGGCTCAGGCAGCCTTGGAGCACCTGTGGTCATCTCCCTTTCACATGTATCCATCCCTGAGACCTCCCAGACGTCTCATCTCTGCATGCCGCAGTGTCTGCACCACCCCCAGGTGCCAGTGGCCACTGCTGGACCCTGCTGAGGCCTTACATTCCAAGGTTGCCTTCTGTGCCCTTCTGTGCACCTGTGGTCACCCGCTCACAGTGTGGTCAGGTGCCTGTATTCCCCAGGAGGCAGACATCTTGTCTGTTTCTCCCCATGACTGGACACCAGGGCGCAGCACAGAGTGGGCACCCATCTCTGTTTGTGGAATGTGCGGATGGAGAAGTGTTGCCTCTTCTGCTACAGGTAAGCAACAAAGCCTGGGACTGGGTCTGTTGGTCCCTCTCATTCACTGACCCAACTAGCAAGTACATTGACTAGAACCTACTGGTGAAGGAGGCCTGGTGGCACAGAGGTTAAGTGCTTGGCTGCTAACCAAAAGGTTGGCAGTTCAAACCCACCCAGTGGCCTCATGTGAACAAGATGTGGCAATCTGCTCCTGTAAACATTACAGCCTAGAAAACCCATGGGGCAGTTCTACTCTGTCACATGGGCTCACTGAGGCAAAATTGACTTGACGGCACCCAACAAGAATAACTTACTAGTACAAACCACTGTGCCAGTGAGGGGCTTGCCCCCACAGAGCTGTCAGAGTCCAGCGGAGCTGTCACATTTGGGGGTCCAGTCCCATCAGAGCCACCCAGACATGGCACCATGGATCAGAGGAACCTGGCCCGCTCCAGCTTCCCGGGGAATGGACATTTGAGTAGTCTTTCAAGACAGACTTTGAGAAGGTGGAGGTGGAGCCAGTGTTCATGTGCAGGGACTGGCAAGCTCAAGAGCAAGTGGCAGGGACCTGCAGGGCAGACTTTGGGGACACCATGTGTTTGAGTCTGCCTGAAGGATGAGGGTGTACAGGTCTATCAGTGAGGGGACAGTGGAGGAGAGATGGGGGAGGATCCTGAAGGCCACGTCAGAAGGTAGGCTGTTGATCTGGAGGCAGTGGGAGCCAGGGATGGTTGGGGCAGGGGGAGCGTCCTCCTCAGAAGGCAGGAAGGAGAACGGGGGGACGAGGCTCCACACCCAGGAGAGACAGGACGAAGCAGGGAGCGGAGGCAGGAGGGAGCAGATGGGGCAGTCACTGATGGCAGGGGAGGGTGGCCAGGTGACCACAGGGCTTGGCCGCCCCCTGCACCCGTGTCCTAGCCTCCTGCACCTCTCTTGTCCCCTTCCCCACTGAGCACCGCGCCTTGTACGCAGCTGCTGTCTACTAAGTGTTTGCTTTTAGACTAAAATCAAGGCGGGGGGCTGCATCTCCAGGGAGTCCAGCCTCCTGTCTCACCCACACCCTCAGAACACCCTGCGGGGCACATTCATACTGGCCTCCGTGGGCAGCCCTGAACCAGGCTAGGGGCAGTGGTGAGCAGGGTGGCCAGGCTGGCCCCTGGGAGCTCAGGCTGGAGGGGAGGCCCGCACAGACCACTGTCAAATCACAGCTGGAAAAATGCTGGGAAGGAGCGGGCAGGAACCATGGGAGTGGAACAAAGCGTGATGACAGAGGGCCAGGCAGGTCAGGGAAGGCTCCCTGGAGGAGGTGATGCCTGGGGGAGGTCTAGAGTGGGCAAATGAGTTAACCAGGCAGAAGAGGGGTGAAGAGTGTTCCTGGGTGTGCAAAGGCCCTGAGCAGAGAAAGGGAGACACGGTGGAGAAGTGGGCAGGGCCCGGGCAAAGCCACCTTCCGGAAGCAGCGAGGAGCACTTTCCCGCCCCTGGCCCCTGGGCCCTTTGCAGTTACCCTTGATGCGCAGTTGTAGGCAGTTGCACTTCCCCACATGGGCAGCAGAAGGCGCTAGAGCAGGGAGGGTGGAATTTATGGCCTTTGGGGGGCTTGGGGAGGAGGAACGCCTGTTTATCCTAGTCATCTGACCGGATGGGGGTCTTCGGGGGACGGCAAACTCTGAGCAGGCCCCTGGAGAAATGAGGAGATACCTCCCCAGGGGACCTAGGTATCCTTGTTGCCTCCCACAGGGGTTTCTCTCGGGAGGGGTCCACAGGAGCCAGCACAGGTTATAGCCAAGCTGCTCCTACCCAGGGACACTCCCACCACCCCGCCGTGCCTCACCCCCAGCAAGAAGGAACTGAAGGCAGCAGGCAAGCACCAACCAAAACCAAACCAAACCCACTGCCGCTGAGTCCATTTCCACTCACAGTGACCCTGCAGGACACAGTAGAACTGCCCTTAGGGTTTCCAAGCAGGGGTGGATTAACCAGTAAGCAAGGTATGCATGGGCTTACTTGTGCTTACTTACTAATCCGTAATACCCAATTTCACATGATGTGGTGAAAAACAAGTTTTTTTCCCCACATCATGTGAAATCGTGCACTACAGATTAACAGAAGCACAAGTAAGCCCGTGCGTACCTTGCTTATTGGGTAATCCATCCCTGTCAAGGCTGTAATCTTTATGCAAGCAGGCTGTCACATCTTTCTCCCATGAAGCAGCTGGTGGGTTCAAACAGCTGACCTTTCAGTTAGCAGCCGAGCGCTTACTCACTGCATCATCACGGGTCCTTGGGTAAGCACCAGGTCATATCTTTGAAAGGATTAAGCTGTGAGTGTGGCCACCCCAAGGGGACCACTGGCCACCCTGACGGGACTCTGAAGCCAACAGGGGCTGGCCAGACAGGTGACACAATAGAGCAACGGAGGTGAGAGGTGGGCTGGTGGGTGGCACCAGGCTGCCATCAGCTCCTGCCAGGCACAAAGGTTGCTGGTGCCTGGCCTCTACTTGTTTCAAGAGAAGCCAGGAAATGCAGGTTTTTAAGTAAAATCTCCCAATTTTTAAATGTTGGCAATTAACCCCTCCACGCACCTCTTTTTAAAACATTGAGTGGGCCAAACAGAACACCCACCAACCTGCTGCCTGTTGGCAAACTTGGCGTCAGGTACACAGTTAAGTGGAACCCACACCAGAAGCAGGAGGGAGAGCTGGTGTGAGCTGGAGATGGCGGGGATGGGGAGGCAGGGACAGCTGAGATAGGCTGAGAGGGCTGGCAGGCAAGAGGGAGAGAGTGGGTGGGACAGCAAGGCTCAGTGGTGCGACCCAGCAGGGGCTCAAGGAAGGTGAGGCTGGGGGTCTGGGCCTGGGGACCAGACCCAGGAGGACAAGGCAGTGATGTGTGTGAATTTCCAAACCCCAGGGACAGGGGGAGGGCCCTATGGCTGCCAAGATGGAAGGAAGGGCAAGCCTGGGGGCCAGAGACTGGTGTCCTTGTTGTTTGTGGAACAGCCTTCACCTTCTTAGACAGAGAGGACTGGAGCTGCCGCCCCCGAGTCAGTCCAGAGCCTGGGACACAGCCCTGTGGCCCTAGGCCTCCTTTATACAAGACATCTGTCCTGAGCTGGCGCCAGAGGACAGGAGGGGCAGGCAGGCCTTGTTCCTGGACCAGAGAGGCTGTGGTTAAGGGTACAGAGGAGGCCCAAGACCAGCATTCCAAGACCCCAAGGTCATTTGTAAGAGAAGACAGTGCAAGGCTGGAGGCCTCCAGCATTTGGGCACAAAGAGTTTCCACCAGAGAAATGTGACAGGGACGTGGGTTTGAGGCTTGACACCCATGGGCCCAGGAGGGCCCGGGGCAGCAGGCTCAGCTGCCACTGTCTCTAAGTGACCACCAGGGGGCGGCAGAAGGCCAGCAGCGCCTTGTACTGGCTGCAGCGGGTGATCCTGGCCCCGAAGCCAGGAGCCAAGAGGCACAGCTAGGGGGCGCCCTCTCCGCCTCCCCGTCCTCTCAGAATGTCCCATGTCCCCCTGGGGTCTCTCAAGACCTGCTTCTCTGCATTCCTGACCCTGGGGCCATGTGGTAATGCTCTATGACTGTCTATCCCCTGTCCAGTGTGGCCACACAGATACCCCTCCACTGGATAGGACACAACCCAGTGCTTGCTCAGCTCCCTGGCTTTCAAAAATCCCCAGACCCCACCTTCCCATCTATCTGACCTTCGCTGCACGGCTCCTCTTGCCCCCCACCCCTGCTCTGCCTGGAGCCACTGTCTGTGTTTCTTTGAGTGCCAGGCTGCCTGGCTGCCCAGTGGGCTGGTGGCTGGGTGCACGTTTACATCCCTTTCTCAGCGTCTCTCACACATGTAAATGACAGCTACGCTTCCTTTTCTGCCAGAAGGGGTCGGATAGCAAATCTAGCCCCAAACCCTTCCTCCCACAGCTCTGCGCGGTGAGAAGCTAGAGGAGGAAGTGGCCGAGCATAGAATAAGTGGCTACAGGAAAGGGGTCTCCTGGGGGGGTCGGGGGGAGCTAGCAAGATGGTTCCTGGGCCCTAGCAATGCAGCCTGGGGTTTTCTGGAAGAAGCAGGTTTGCTGCTTAAATCAACTCCCAGGGCTGGTGTTTCTAAAAAGCCAGCCTGGTGGTTTCTGTACATGATGAATCCATCCCAAGGCCTCTGTGAATTCAGACAAATGGGGAGAAGGAGCCCCTCCCCAGTCCAGCCTGCCCCTGCACCCCCACCTGCTGTTCCAGGTGCAGCGAGCCAGAGGGAGAGGAATTCTGTGGCCAGCAGATCCTTCTGTCTGCACGTGGCCCCCGATGGAGGGCAGCTGTCTGCAGAAGGGGTGCCAGGCATAGGAGAGAAGGGCCCCACCGTGGCCAGGGTAGGGATACGGGAGCCTGAGGGCCTGACAGGAATTGAGAGTGGCCCTCTCCCCACAAAACCGCGGCCCTGCTTCCCAAAGGCAGAGCCTGGGGGCCGGTCCCTGAGTGGGGCCCCCATGTGAGGTGATGGCCGTGGTCCAGGGGTGACCCCCACTCCCAGCTCCAACACTCTCGCTGGCTCCGGTCACTCCCTATGCCGTCTGGTTTCCCAAGCCTCGATCTGGCTGGTCTGCCCAGCCACGTGCCCTGCCCATGGCCGGGTCAAATCTCACAATCCACTGACACCGTCATCGAGGACCCGGCCTCATGCTTAGTGGATGGAAACTTGGTTATAAGATGTTCAAAGACTGACAGGGTCACCACTGGCAGTCCCTGGCCCCAAGCCAGAGCCCTGGGATCCAGAGATGGAGGGACCAGAGGCCCGAGGTCAAGGGCAGGGGTCTGCCCCAAGACACCTTGATGTCTTGGGGACCAGCTGGGATCACCTCTTCTCTTCCTACACAGACTCACCCAACCAAGCCTGCTGGACAGGAGGGCGTTTCACACTGTCTACCTTAGCCCTTGGTGCACAGGGCCTCCCTGACTCCCGCCCCTGTCCCAGGCTTTCTTCTGGAAGCCCTCGATACCCACCTGTCCACAGCACAAGCACGTGTTCCTCTGGCTTGGTGGGCTCACCACCCACCCCGAGCATGCCCTGACCTCGGTTCTTGGCTGGATGCCCAGCCCCAGGGCAGGGTCTGGCTCACCGGACTCACCATCTTGCAGATGGACTTGGCCTCCTCAGAGAACTTGTGGGAGTAGGCTTCCTCAGTCTCCAGGACTCGGCGGTCCACCTCCTCCCGCTTCACCTTCTCCTTGCGGCCGCGGAAGGGTGACTGGCCCTCGATCATCTCGTAGATGAGGCAGCCCAGGCCCCAGAAGTCAGGGCTCAGGCCGTACCTCTGGTTGTTCAGGACCTCTGGAGCTGGGGCAGAGCAGGCATGCGAGGGAGAAGTGAGAGACAGCTGGAGGCAGGACGGAGCCTAGGCACGCGGGCCAGGGCTGCTCCTCATGGCTGGCTCGCTCTTCCTCTTGCTAACTCCTACCCACCAATTACTGAAAATACCACCTCCTCCAGGGAGCTGGTGTTGATTGCTCTCCTCTGTGCTCCCAAAGGACTCTGTGACTTCAGTTTCAGAACCCTGGCCACAGCGGGTGGAAATGGTCTGTTCCCAGGACATGAGCTGCCTTATCCACACTGTGTCCCCAGTAACAGGAACGGCCCCTGGTACATGGCAGGTGCTGCACATGTATTTGTTTCAGCGATGAAGGCGTGTCCACCCAAATTAAAGCAGATAACTTTAAACGTATCTGGAATACAAACAGCCTTTAAATATGGCTTCCCAACCACCCCTCACTTTGATAAAATGAATTATAGATTCATCACAAAAGTATAAAAAAGATAGGTCCCCATCATCAGGCAGGCCACATGTATCCACCGGCAAATGCAGCCACAAGCGCTGGTTGGCACACAGCTGAGGCTGCGCAGGCAGACGCTTTCACACCCATTTGCAAAAGGGGACAGGTGAAACACAGGTAGATGCTCCCACATCATGCAGACAGATACCTACATATCTATGCATCTATCTGGGAGCCCTGGCGGCGCAGTGGTTAAGAGCTTGTCCGCTAACAAAAGGTCAGCAGTTCGAATCCACCAGCTACTCCTTGGAAACCCTATGGGGCAGTTCTACTCTGTCCTACAGGGTTGCTATGAGTCAGAATCGACTCTATGGCTATGGGTTTGGCTTAGTTTTTTTGGTAGGCATCTATCTAGCTCTCTATCTCTGAATGAATCTATGTATCTATCTTTGTATGTATGTTATCTATCTATCTGTCATCTATCTATCCATCTACCTACCTACCTATTCATCCATCCATCCATCCATCCATCCATCCATCCACCCACCCACCCATCCATCCATCCATCATACACACTCACATATTCACAGACACACGATCCAAGTTGCCAAATGTCACGAAACCCGAGAAGGACCTTCTAGCGTCAGAGACCAGGTACAGAACACTGTGCAGCTGCATCAGCGCCAGCCTGGCCGGAGGGCAGCCACAAGAGCTCTCTGGGTCCCCTTTCTCTGGGTGAGTGGGGGCGTGTGAGGTGTGCAGGAAGAAGCCCAGTGCTGCCCTCAGTTATAAGGGGACTCTGGGGGACAGGACTTGGCTCCGGGTCTCCTCCCTGTAGCACCAGCATGATGGTCTTGGGCAGGCTGGGGGAGGAAGGGCAGGAGCCCAAGGCTGGTCCCTCCTTAGCATCATGCTGGGTGACACAGCCAGCAGTGCACTCTCCTCTCTGAGCCTATGCCTAGGGCCTTCCTTCCCTCAGGGGCTCCTGAACGGGCTGCCCGCCGGCCCACCAGACCACTCCTCCCATGTGGTCCCCCTGAGCACCACTGTGTCCAGACTTGTCCCCTGACCCTGGAGAAGGGCCTGGCTTTGAGATGAAGGTGGGTTGGGGGCTGGGGGCTGCAGAGAGCTCAGTCTAGTCCAGCCATATCCTGTGTCCCCTTCACTCCACACTGCCCTGGCCTCCACCAAGCAGCCCCACGGGAGACCATGACTCTAATTTTGGTGGGCAACACACAAACGGGTGAGGGGAGTGGGCTCAGGAGGCTCAGTGTGTGAACGTGCGGGCCTCTCCTGGCACTCACCCATGTAGCCAACAGTGCCCACCCGGCCGCGGATCAGGTCTCCCTCGGGGATCTTCACAGCCAGGCCCAGGTCCGAGATCCGAATGTGGCCTGAGGGGAGAGCAGAGTACGGTTCCTGGGATGCTCCTATGGATGCTTGGCCCTCTCAGGGCAGTGCCATAGACTTGCTGTGTGACCCTGGGCCAGGTACTCGGCCTCTCTGAACCTCGGCGTTTCATCTGGCCAGTGGAGACCGTGATGGTAATCTGCCATCTCAGGGTGACTGCAAGAACTTCAGGGGCCCAGGTGTTGGAGAGTGTGTGCAAGTCATTACTTTTTAGGAGTGAAACTTAAGGGCCCAGAAGGACGTTCAGACTTGACTGGACGTTGGCCGACCTGCCTTGTAAAATCCCCTAATGGGCTTCTTGGAAGGCTGAGGTCACAAAGTTGAAGTCTTGGCCTGATTCTGGGATTGCTTCATGGAAAAAATGGGAGATCCTCCTAATATTCTGCAATAATTTGCTTAAGGGGAAAAAACTTATAAAGGCATTTGGGCAGCAGCTCCCTGCCCTGCCTTGCTGGTCTTCGGAGGTTGGTTGTTTCTTCCCTTTGGAAGCAAGAAGGGAAACGTCTAGGCTGGGCCTGGAGGGGCCTGGGGGATGGGATCAGAGCTCACAGTCCGGTACTGACTCCAGAAGGCTGCCATGCCACCTCTGACCCTTCTGCTCCCTGCCTGTGTGTGCCAGGGCACCTACCAGCTTAGACCTCAGTAAGGCCCCAGTCCAGCAACCCCCTCTGGGCTGGAGTTGTATGGACTTCCCGTTTCAGTGGGTCCCTGACAAAGCCAGGGAGTGGGGGATGAGATGCAGGACAGGAGTGGTGGCCATGGTTCCGAGACCAGCAAGGAACACGGGCCCCGTGTAGGCTTGGGGCTCACCCAGAGAGGGACGGCAGGCCCTGGGCCCTCTGCCTGCTCTTCTACACGGGAAGCCTTGGGAAGCATCACATACAAACCTCTCTCAGGTCACCAGCAAGCCGCCTCCCTCTTTCCCTCTTCCCTCTACTTGGGGCTGCCTGGTGTCGGGACATTGGTGGGGAGGAGATCTGGCCACTGATACAGCTGGGCGCCCTTGTAGGCTGGCTACTCTGAGCCTTGGCCTTGTCATCTGTAAAATGGGCACAGTGATAGCAGCCCCACCCTCTCTGGGAGCGTGAAGATCTAGTGAGATAAAAGATGTGAAAACCGTTGCCCGGGGGGGAAAGGCTAAAGAGTTTGAGGGGTTACTGTGGTTGCTGTTGTCACCCACAGCAGCCCTAACCCTTCAAGAGAAAAGCACAATGATAACGCCTGAATACCAGTGCCTGATACTTCTGTAGCTGGTCACCGTTGAAAAAACAATTTCCCCTCCAACTGTCTTGTAGGGGCCTCACCACCACCCTCCACCCTCTGAAGCAGGCAGGGCGGGTCCCATGATTTCCATTTTACAAACAAGGAAGATGAGATGCAGACAAATTGCCTCAAAGTTAAGTGATTTGCCCAGTATTTCTGAAATTATGGACATCTCCTCTCACTTAGCTGAGACACACTGCCTCTCCACCTGATAGAAGCTCTACCCAGGCCTAGTGTCTTCCCCAGGAGACCAGGATTGAGGAAAGGGAGTGGGGTCCTCTCCCCTCGCTTGCCCACCCCCTCCCCTGTCCCATGGCAGTGCTAGCGAAGGCAGCTTCCTCCCCATCCCTGTGAGTCTCTGGGGGCCCTTCAGGTCCTATGGCTTGCGACGCTCACCTCAGGTATAGAATAGGAAAAGGGGCTCCCAAGCAGTCCCTGACTTACCGAAATCATCTAACAGGATGTTTTCAGGCTTCAGATCTCTGAAAGAGAAAGATAACAAGCATCTGAGTGTGGGCATTCTGGGCAGCAAGGGCACTGGCGTCTGGGGTGACCACCTTGGGCCAACTAGGCTAGAGTAGCCAGAGGATATTTCCTTCCTGCCTCTTGGCTCAGGTTGTCTGGTCTCTGACTCTCTCTGGGTCAAGACAGGCTTGAGCTAATGTCTCTCCTTCCAGTAATTCAATAAACGGACGCCGCTGTTTTCCAAAAGCAGCTTCCCAACCTTGGAGAGTAACTAGGAAGGTAAAGGCCAGCCTGGCACCAGTCCAAGGTCCCTGGGTGGCACATGTGGTTTTCAATTGGCTGCTAAACTAAAGGTTGGTGGTTCAAACCCACCCAGTGGTGCCATGGGAGAGAGGCCTGGTGATCTGCTTCCATAAAGATTACAGCCAAGAAAACTCTATCGAGCAGTTCTATTCTATAACATACAGGGGTTGCCATGTGTTGGAATCGATTCCACGGCAACGGGCTTGGCTTTTTGGTTGTGGCAGCAGTCCACACACGGACAGCCCCTAGGGCTGAGGAAACATCTACTTTTTGTGGTGACAGCTCTCTACAGGACTGGGAAGACCTCGAAGTTTCAGGATGCCCTGGGACGGGCATGGGAAGGAAGGCAGAGAAATTGAGAACAAAACACCAGCTGTGAAATTGGGGGCAGAGGATTGTAGGGGGAGAGGATGGTAATTCCCAGGAGCAAGACCCCGTTTGGGACAGGGACCCCAGGAGATTGGTACAGACCCCAACTCTAGCTATAGCCCGGGAAAAAGTGGAGCCGGAAGGCACAGCTATAGGTGTGGGCTGCTTCATCCTGTCCCTGATATCTCTTCACAAGAAAGGGAACCTCTGGGGACATCTAGTTCAATTGGTATAACAGTTCATAAAGAACATGTTCTACATCCTACTTTGGTGAGTAGTGGCTGGGGTCTTAAAAGCTTAGCTTGGCCATCTAAGGCACCTACTGGTCCCATCCCATTTGGAGCAAAGGAAAATGAAGAAAACCAAAAACACAAGGAAAATATTAGCCCAAAGGACTAAAGGACCAGATGAACCACAGCCTCCACCAGCCTGAGCCCAGAAGAACTAGACGGTATCCATCTACTACCACCAACTGCTCTGACAGGATCACAATAGAGAGCCCCGGACAGAGTGGGAGAAAAATTCATATTCACAAAAAACACCAGACTTACTGGTCTGACAGAGACCAGTAAGAACCCCCGAGTCTATGGCCCCCAGATACTCTAACTCAGAACTGAAGCCACTCCCAAAGGCCACTTTTCAGACAAAGATCAGACAGGCCTATAAAACAAACAATACCACACGCGAGGAATGTGCTTCTTAGTTCAAAGATACAAGACCAAATGGGCAACTCCTGCCCCAAAGCAAAGACGAGAAGGCAGGAAGGGACTGGAAAACTGAACGAATGGACACTGGGAACCTGGGGGGGGATAGGGAAAGGGGGAGAGTGCTGTCACATTGTGGGGATTGCAACTGATGTCACAAAACAATATGTGTATACCTTTTTGATTGAGAAACTAATTTGCACTGTCAACTTTCACCTAAAGCACAATAAAATTAAAAAACAGCAGCAACAAAAAAGAAAGGGAAGCTCTCCATCCCCAGGATGGGCAGGAGGCTGGGGGGCAGCGAGAGTTTGGTTTTACCAGTAAGTCTTCTCCTGGGTGGAAGAACAGCCAGTGGGATGGTGTGTGCAGCTCACAAAGCCACTGGATAAACGAGTACAGGGCATCTGGATCGACGCTCCAGTTCTCAACCAAGCGGCTTTGTTTATTTAACTGATGGCAGCTGTCCTCACCAGGGGGTGGTTAACATACCCAAACCCAGTGGGGTAGCCTCACAATATGATAATTAGTGTTTGTGTGTAGTTATTTATTACAAAATACTTTTGTTGTTGTTGTTATTTAAATGGCATCCCTTTGATGTGCTAACAATTCCAAATAAGGGCAAGAGCCATCATCTCAACAAGCCAGCGGCCACCCGCTTGGAAGGACAGCTCACCAGTGGGCACTGGACAGAGCCCAAACCCTGGGGGAGGCCAAGGCAAGTGGTCAGGGCCAGGAGGAGGCACAAGGCTTCCCATCCTCCCCAGAAGAATAGGGTCTGGGACTTGGAGGGCCTTTTAAAAAAAAAAATTTTTTTTTTTAAGTAAAAAGCAATCAAGTGGAGGATTCTTTTTTCAACCCTTAGGGAAATTTTTCTAACTTTCTTTTCACTTGAATGAAAACAAAGCAAAAACATAACTGGGGAGATGGTATGTGTGTGGGGGAAGGAACATCGTCAAAACCATTCCTTCTTGTTTTCAAAACCTTCTAGATCTCCTGAAACAATCTCCACCAAGAGCTCTAGAGCAAAGGTCTTCAAGCTGGGGTCTGTGGGGGAACTTTCCAGCAGGTTCCCAGGTGCTGACAGTTCTAAGGGTAAGGATTTCTAGATCTTTAACACCCTCATGCTCTGTCCTGGAGCCCTGGGGGCTCTCCCTCCCTTCGGCCCTTTCTCAATAGCTCTTCTCCCGATTTACAGAAGAAAAGCAGCCCCCTCCCAAATATTACTACCGTGTCCTGGTCCAGGGTGTCCAACCTCTAAGGCTCCAAAGGATCAACTAGAAATAGGATCTACTACTAGTTACTGGGATGGTAGCTCACAGAGGAAATTACTTTAATGTTTAGAGCCTTATTCAAAGGAAGCTTTAAAAAATCTTATACACATCTGTCTGTCTGTCCGTCTGTCCATTCGTCCATTCATCTATCTCCACCACCCATCTGTCAGTTTTTTGTACTGTGGTGGCTTCTGTGTTGCTATGACAGGGTCACCCATGGTGGACAGGTTTCAGTAGAGCTTCCAGAATAGGAAGACTAGGAATAAAGGCCTGGTCATCTGCTTTTGAAAAATCAACCATTGAAAATCCTGTGGAGCACAGTTCTACCCTGACCCTCATGGAGTCATCATGAGTCAGGATTGACTCAACAGCAAGTGGTTTTGGGTACCTTTAAAAGTGTGGTGTCACTACTCAATTTCAAAATATCAGTAGTTGCCACTATTTAAACATACGATGAAATATTTTAAATATCTACTTAAAATTTGTGAGAGGGACACATGGTTTTTAAAAATTCTTTGAGGGGGGCTGTGAGAAAAGTTTGAAGACCTCTGTTCACAGAATCTTGACCCTTGGTCCTACAAAATTCAGGCCCACGGGACTGAGGTAAGTTGGGAGAGAGAGTGAAGGGGCCAGAGTAGGCAGAGGACAGCACGGGGTGTGGCCAAGTTCTATTCAGATGCCTGCTTGTGCGTGGTGATCTAAGGTCTTCCTGGGCTGACTCCACATCACTGCCACCAGCTCCGATGAGCTTCCCCAGTGCTAGGTTGGAGGGGCTGGGTAATGGCCCTTCCTCATCAACTCTGAGCCGCAGCTAGTTTGGGAAACATCATATCATATTCTTGTCTTTCCCAAGCTTTGGAGGCCAGATAGCACTGGCTGGAGAGTGGCCCACCTCACTTACCTGTGCCCAGGAGCCCTGAGTCTCCAAGGTGGGAGTCATCTGTTCAAGGCATGCACCTTCACCCGCAGTGACCAGGCCTTGATTTCCGGGGTGAGGACAACCACCCACAGGAGGGCAAGAAGGGACAGCCCACCCATTCAGAGTCAGATGGGCAAACCCGGTGGATGAGGGCTGCTTACCTGTAGACGGTGTTCTCCCGGTGGAGGTCTTCCAAGCCGCACAGGATCTCTGCCGCGTAAAACAAGGCACGCTCCTCCTCGAAGCCAGGGTTGCCCATGTTGTAGATGTGAAACTTTAGGTCACCCCCATTCATGATGGTCAGAACCAAGCACAGCGCGTCCTTGGTCTCGTAGGCGTAGGCCAGGTTGACCTGGGAGCACAAGAACAGCACCACGGTGAAGTTAAGATGACCACCCCCACTTCCGCTTTTCTTCCTCAGAATCCTTAAAGCTGGGGCAGGGGTGGGTGTGCTGTCGTGGGGGGACTGCAGCAGCTTCACACTACTCCCCTGGACCCAACTGGCCTCACGGTGACCCTGCCTGCTGCCCCTCTTAGATGATGAAGGAGGATGCACACCTAGGACCTCCCAAGTCAGTGGTTGCAGGTGAGGCAAAGAGGGTGGGGGGCAGCAGGCCAGTACCTGCGCTTTCAGTGACTCTAGCAGGATGATGTCTGACTTTTTGCACCACGAAAACATGTACGTCATCAGCAGGTTAAAACCGTACGTTGCCTTGTTGGTTGGTCAAGAGAAGCAGGCCCCAGGTGCCCTCAGGTGGGTGGGGGCTCCTCACTGCAGGGATGAGTGGAAGTGGCCTGGGGAAAGGCCTTTGTTGTATTCTGCTACTGAGATTTTGGGGTTAATTTGTTACTGCAGCAGAGCCTTGCCTGGACTAACACAACATATGTAAACAAAATGGCACCTCACTAGGACACTCATACTTACATCTCCACCATGATGAAATCAGCTTAGAGGGGTCTAGGGAAACCAGAGCCCCTTGGCTGGGCCCAGGGCAGGCTTGTTTTGTCCACGGAGGAGTTTACAAGGTGGTCCTGGAGAACAGAGGCCTCGGTTTCCCACACAGAGGGAGCCAGGCACTGGCCAGCTTTAGTGATAGGACAAAGTCAGCCTGAATTGACCACGAAGTGCCTTCCCATGGAGGGAATGTCCAGTTGGCTTCCTGTAGCGTACCCTCTCATTAGCATTCCACTTCCCTGGGGGATGGGAGCCAGGCATACTGGCTGTTATGGATTAAACTGTGTACCCTCAAAATATGTGTGGGAATCCTAACCTCTACCCTTGTGGAAATAATCCTGTTTGGAAATAGGGTTTTTTCTGTTATGTTAATTTGATCATAGCTGAGTATAGTGAGTTCTAAATCTAATCACTTCTGAGCTATAAAAAGAGCAGATTAGATGGAGAGGCCTGCACACATGTGGGGAGACAGATGCCAGTGAGTACTGTCTACAAGCCAGGAACCAAGGAATATGTGGGACTACCGACAAGGAAGGAATTCACAAGGCAGAGACTCTGATTTGGACTTCTAATCTTCAGAAATGTGAGAAAATAAATTTCTTTTCCTTAAAGTCATCCACTTGTATTTGCCTGGAGCAACAGAGGAAGAAGGAGAGTCAAGAATAGGATGAGGAAATGGAACGTTTGGCTAGTTGTCTCCATGAACAACTGCCTCCTTTGCCATGAGATCAGAAGAACTAGATGGTGCCCGGCTACCATTACTGAACATTTTGATAAAAAATTCTATAGAAGAATCCTTATCAAAAGGGGGGAAATACAGAACAGAATTTCAAATTCTCATGGACTCCAGACTTACTGGAGCCATGAAGTCTGAATGAACCTCCAAGCCTACTGCCCTGAGATAATCTTTAAACCTTAAACCAAAAATATCCTCTGAAGTCTTCTTAAAACCAAACAAGAGTTTAGCTTAACTAGTAAAGAATGTCTGCCTTGAGCATTGTGCTCTTTTAAGATCTATCTATATGGGATCAAATTGACAATAGCAACTCGAAAGATTAGCCAGGAATCTTAGTGGGCAGTGAGTTTATGTTAGTGGGGGAGGAACAACTCAGAAGAGGAGGGTGAGAATGGTTGCACAACTGGAAAAATGTAATCAATATCACTGAATTATACATGTAGAAACTGTTGAATTGGTATATATTTTGCTGTGTATATTCTCAACTACAATAACAATAAAATAATATACATTATATTTATGTATATAAACCCATTCACTTGTGGTATTTCTGTTGCAGCAGCACTAAGAAATCAAGACACTGGAGGACCACCCCTTTCCAAGGGAAGGAAGTTCCTTCACCAGAGAGTAACCTGTCACCAGGCCCTGGACACTCACCACAAACCGACTGTTGACCTTCTCTAGAATCTGCTTCTCATTGAGTGCCATGGACTCCCCTTTCCTCTTTTTGATCCTCTTCTTCTCCAAGCGCTTGCAGGCGTACATTTTACCTGTGGCCCGAACCTGGCAGGCACAGACCTGAGGAGCAAGAAAGAAGCCAAAGTCATGGGGACACGGTGGAAGGCTGTCTGAAGCTGGCTCTCCAGGGATGGGATGCTGATGGGGCCAAAGGTGCTCCCAGCCCACAGGACCTGACCACAGACCGTGGCCTTGAATCTACTGCTGCCCTGGGCCCTGCCCTTCCCAAGCCGCCTTCAGTGCCATCTTCCCCTCACCTTAGAAGAATCCTAGCTCTTGAAGGTGAGGAACCTTCAAGAACATGAAGGTTGAACATGAAGGTTTGTTGAACATTCACACCGATGTTCAGATGACTCGCCAAGGCCTAAAGGATCATCCCCCTCTCAGAGGCAACTGCATTTCACTGTCCCAAGCTTTCAACTAAATGCAGCAATTGCTAACTGGGGACTTTCAAGCATTAGCTGCTAGTGGGAGTGGCTTGTTTTGGAGGTAGAGTTATGGGAGACCCCCGAGAATCCTGCCTTTAGAATTCAGGAGGATGGGAGCTAGAACATTTGGAGTCTAGTCTCATTTCTGCCCCTGATTGGCTGTGTGACCTTGAGTGAGTCATGTAACTATTCTGAACCTCAGCTTTCTTCATCTCTAAAATAGGAATAAAAAGTCTTGCCTCAGTTGCTGGGAATATCAGAGAGAGTACAGTGGAATCTCTAATCTCATGTAACAGTGCATGCTAATGTCATCATCCAGAAATGTGATGGCCAAGGTCGGTAAGCCTCTCATGCCCTCACCTCTCCTTCCCCGTACACTTCTTCCCTCCAGACTTGAACCCTGCCCAAGGCTGACTCCTGAGAGCACCTCCATCTCCCCTGCCACACCCCAGACAGCTGAGGGCGGCTCAACACTTCTCCCTTTCCACCTTCCCGTTCAACCAAACCCATTGCCGTCAAGTCACTTCTGACTCAGAGTGACCCTATAGGACAGAGTAGAATTGCCCCACAGAGTTTCCAAGGAGCACCTGGTGGATTCAAACCGCCAATCTTTTGGTTAGCAGATGTAGCACTTAACCACTATGCCACCAGGGTTTCTCTTTCCACCTTAGACATAGCTAATTTTCCCAAAGGTCTCTGACTCTCGCCCTCCCTCACCACCTCCAGTCCCCTAAATATTCACATTATCTGGCCCTTGCCCTCCCTCACCACCTCCAGCCCCCCAAATATCCACATTATCTGGGAATACCCAAGGGCGCCCATGGCTGATCCATTTGCTTGGGAAGCACTGCTTAGAAGAACATTTTAGGCTTATTCAGAAGGGACTGAAAAAGCAACTACTAGGCTATAGAAACTTTCTGTTGAAAAAGGTAAATATTCACTCACCTCCCCGAAGCCCCCTTTTCCTAGCACTCGATACTGCCTAAAAGTGTTTTTGGTCACTGGTTGCCTGGAAAAAAGTAAGAATCCAACATTGATCTCATGATGTTAAGATCCAGAATACATAAGAAATCGACAACAGCACCAATGAAAGCAGCTGGTGGGAGGGACAATTCTATGATCTCTAAAGTGTCCCCTGAATATCCCCAGAAATCATGGCTACAGATAAAACCTTCAAGGACTTACTCTGAGGCTGGGTACTCAAATCCTCCTGCTGAGTGCCCAGCTTATGGTATGCCTTAAGATTTCAGCCTTTCCAGCGCCGACAATTGCGTGAGCCAAGTCATTAAAACAAATCTTTTAATATATATGTATATGTACACACACACACATCACACATCTCCTACTGGTTCTGTTTCTCTAGAGAACCCTGACTGATACAGATTTTGGTGCCAAGAGTGGTTCTAGAGGAACAGAACCTTAAGTATGAGTTTTCTGAATTGGTTCTGGAGTTTCTGGAATTGGTTCTCTAACCTGGTCAGATTTAAAGGTAGTAATGACTCTATTTCCAATGGTACAGAGGGCACTGATAGTCTACAGCACGATGGGGCAATAGAGATATGCAAAATACCACCAGTGGACACTCCTAATCAAATACTTACATAAGGCAAGATTTTGGGTGACCATGTATATTTGATACCTTACAGCATTTTTGTCAAACTAATGAGTATAATGAGATGGGCTAGTCGTTCCTAACGGTGCTGGAGAAATGTGGGGAAAAAAGACGAGTTCAGGGCTTCAAATTCCCAGGTCAAACTCCTCATAAATGACTTGAAAGTTCCTATGTCTGACCTGAAAAAAATTCTTATCTCTTGTAGCTTAAGAGCTGAGATTTCTGAAAACCAAACCCAGAGTCTCAGCCTGCAAGTAGCTGAAGTACAATGCAAATTGAATTCTCAGCCTCGTAGAGTGTCTGCTGTTAAAAGTGAGGGCATTGATTGGGAAAGATCTCAAAAAATCAAATGGGGACATATGGGCAGATCCTGATGAAGCTAGGGATTGAACCCCTAAACTCTGCTAAGCCTTCTTTACCAGTACAGACAGCCCGCTGACCCCTATCTGAAGAGATTAACCCTGCATTGTCTGAAGAACCTGTAATAGCCTCCCCTAAGGTAGTTGCCCTGCAAGACATCCAAGGAGAATGCCATGTGAAAACCGAGCCAGAGATTGGTGTGATGTGTCTACAAGTCAAGGAACATCAAGGATGGCCAGCAAAACAAGAAGCAAAATGAAGGGATGGAATAGATTCTCCATAGCGGCTTCAGAGAGTGCATGGCCCTGCCAACACCTTTATTTCAGATTTCTGGCCTCTAGAACTGTGAGACAATGAATTTCTGTTGTTTTAAGTCATCCATGTTGTGGTACGTTTTTACGGCAGCCCTAGGAAACTAAGAGAAATCCCTGTAGGCTGGGAGAGAAAGAGTTCTTGCTTGCTCAGAGGGGGAAAGCTGAAGGCATGAAAAAAATGTGAGCCCAATGATGTTTAACCATACTTTTCGTGTGGTTCCCTTCTCTCTCCCAAATGCAAATCATGTGGCTAAGCTCAGAGGGAAGCTGTGTCCCCTGTGCAGGGAAATGGGGAGGGGGCCAGGAACCACAGAGGTTGAGTGTGCCCCTGGAGGAACATGAAGGAGACCACAACCCTCCCTACACCTGCACATCCAGGCCTGCTCAGCAGGACAGGCCACACTTCCTGTCCCTGGGAGCCTGGGCTATTTCTGCAGGTGCTCCTCCAGTCCCTGGCCCACACAGTCCTGAGGAAACCAACACGGCTAACCCCTCACCACACTGCTCCAACCTTTAAAAGAGGCCTCCTTAGGTTGCAAAGGCTGCTTGTCTTCAAGTCTAGTCCTGCTAAACTTTAACCATTCTTTCCCAACCTTTCCACCACCACCAAAACCCACTGCCGTCGAGTCAATTCCGACTCACAGCAACCCTATAGGACAGAGTAGAACTGCCCCATAGGGTTTCCAAGGCTGTAATCTTTGCAGACTGCTACATCTTTCTTCTCAGGAGCGGCTGGTGGGTTTGAACCTCTGACCTTTCAGTCAGCAGCCAAGCACTTAACCACTGCACCACCAGGGCTGCTTTCCACCACCAAGGACCCCTGTATTATTTTATCCTCCATAGATCTAGGGCTCTAAAAGATCCTGTCTGTCTAAAGTGGTAATCATGAAGTAATAATTACTTTGTGTCCCCAGCTTCCCATTTTAATTAATCAAAACTATTTGTCATATCTAATCAGAACCTCTAATCAGGATGTTACTTCCCAGAGTTAATAAATAAATGGTTATTCCCATCATAGCAAAGGACTCCTTAGTTTAGATAGCTTTCATTGCCAGCCTGTTTGGCTATTATAATTGGCTTTTACCATGTCAAGATTGGCTCTTGGCCATGAAGAGAAATGAAATCCTGATATATGGCACAGCATAAATGAACTTTGAAAACATTATACTAAGTGACAAACATCGTATGACTCCACTTATATGCAGTATCTAAGATCCGACCAAAATCCATTGCTGTGAAGTCGATTCCGACTCATAGTGACCCTATAGGACAAAGTAGAACTGCCCCATGGGGTTTCCAAGGAGTGGCCGGTGGATTCGAACTGCTGACCTTTCAGTTAGTAGCCAAATGCTTAACCACTGCACCACCAGGGCTCCATATCTAGGATAGGCAAGTGTATAGAGAACAAAGTTTATTAGTGGTTACCAGGGGCAGGAAGGCGGGTAGGGGGAAGAGGAGAGTCATTGCTGAGGGGACATTGAGCTCCTACTAAGGGTGATAGGAAAATTTGGAAATGGATAACGTTAATGGTTGAAAAACACGATAAACATAACAAATGTCACTAAATTGTACATTATGTAACGTGAAGAATGTAGAAAAGGCAAATGATTTGTTACATATATATTTACCATAACTAAAAATAAATTGGCTCTTGGATCTCCAAACCTATTTCTGAGCACCCTCCCCCCAACACACACACACACACACACACACGTGAAGAATCCTGTTCTTCAGGGGCTGGTGGGACACTGAATTGGGCCACAGAACT